TTATGTTATGTTAAAATTAGTAGACCACTTAAGTCATCCCCAATAAATTGAAATTAGCATTGACTTGACTTCCTAAATTCAAATCACTTTAAAAAACTACGCTTAATATCAGTTCTCATGACTAGCAGAGAATCTAAAACCTAACAAGCCGTGCCCAGAATATTGAACACCACAATGATATCATCGAGATACAAAAATAACCGAATCAAAGTAAAGTTTAAGTTCCGATGTTATTGCGTAATTTGAAACGAGGCCGGACGACACCTTTATGGAAATTTAACTTATAGACGTGTACCTATAACATAAACCAAGGCACTTTACATATGTATGGAATAACCGAATAGATAACTTTGTTAATAATAATTAAGTCGTAAAATAAACCTGTTGTTTTTAGTTAAAGCACAGATAGGATGCTGTAGGGAGATATTGATTTATTAAAATGGTTAACGTAATGAACAGTTAAAATGAATTTTTGGAAAATCCCAGCAATGCCAACAATTTTTCGAGAAAATCTTTCTTAAACTCATGGTGTAGTTTCTTTGTTGTTATTCTTTATAGGAATCTACATTTTAGCTTTTAAAGTATTTATATTTTAATTTCATTGTCTAATAGAATGCTGGACAATTATATAGTGATGTTTCAAAAGTACCTGAATGCGCTTTAATTAAAATAATTGGGTGTTTTCCTTGAAAACATACCTTACATTACATATTTAGGCATAGGATGGTACCTAATTAATATATTATTCATTATTAATATATATATATATGTATATAAGAATGAATTGCTGTTCTTGAGTCTCGCGAAAACATAAAAACTCCTGGACCGATTTGGCTAATGTTAGTCTTGATTTATTTCTTGAGGTCCAGGATAGGTTTAAAAGGTGAAAAAAAATATTTGTGGTTATACGAGGTTTGATGGGTCCTCTAGTTTTTTATATGAAATTTCATGGTTAATATGGAATATTTACAAAACTATACAACCATCTATCTAGTTTCTTATACGTTAGACTCGCTCAATGATGGCGGGCCGATGCCATGTCAAAGTTATATTTACATGTATTGATTATTCATATTAAGTTAATATTAGATGTTTAGACAAATATCAAATTAATGCCATGGATTTAATGTGCAATATGATTAATTATTCCGGTTCTTGTTGGATTTAAAGTTTTTTTTTGTAATAAATAAATTATTCGCGGAGATGTTCAATGTTATAGTTAATGTAATAGTTCTTTAGAACTATGACAGTCAACTGTATAGAAAAATATTAGAAGTACAAAGATTATTTTAGTAAAATATACATTAATTAATGCGTATTTCTTCTGATATTTTTATGACATTGGCAAATGTATTTACTGTAGAATTTTACGACAGTTATGTTTTGAGTCGATTAAGAACTAACGTCACCTTGGACCTCAAATGAAGTCAAGTCATTTAGAATCAGATCAAAGCGTGGGCTTTATATAAAACTCCAATTATGTATTTAAATTATACAACAAATTTGAATAGTTGCTCATCAAAGTTCCTATATAATTTATTGCTGCCGTACTATTGACATTGATTTTGTAGACACTATGTTCACGTGGCCGTTGGGTGATGGGCAGAGATGTAAGTTAATTTATTTAAATCGAATACGTATGTGTTTGATGAGTTTATTGGGAAATTAATGGGAATATTATTATACCTCTAGATGGTACTCGAGTGAAGAAGGACGGTTGTCATTTGTTACTTTCATGGTCGAAGGTAATATGACAACGAATTGATTGCGAAACTTTTATTTATAAGACTAGTGCTTGACCCGGCTTCGTATGCCTTTACAATTAGCGCCAATCTCTAATAAACTTTAATATATATTTTTAATTGAAGTAAATCTTATACAAAGTGGAAGATTTTGTTTTTTTGTTTGATTGTTTGAACGCGCTAATCTCCGTAACTACAAGTCCGATCCGAATTTTTTTTTTGTGTTGGATAGCGCATTTATCGAGAATGCCTATAGGCTATAAAACATCACGCTACGACCAATAGAAGCTGAGCAGAGCGCGTGAAACCGCGCGGAAGTAGCTAGTAATATATATAATGGTGTACATGCAACTCTATTGTTAGTGATTGAAAAAAATATTCTTGATTGTATCTGGTAACCTAACCTGTGGCCACTCGTCCAACAAGACAAGTCTAAAAGGAAATATACAAAAAGACACACACATTAATCCTAACGATTCCTGATCTTTACACAGCTGTCAGTGAATTACAATATAGGAAGCGAATCTTTAACATTTCGTGCACAAAAACTGCGAATAACATATTACGAGTCATTAGTACTGTTTATTTGTATAACACACAATAACACACAATAGGTTAATAACCGCATTATAACACAAGTACTACTCAAGCATTGTGGCCTAAGGTTTTTCTAGTATTTTAGTGTTTAATTGAATTTGATTGCTTGGCAATGAATGTCCGGATGTATATTGTGCAGCCTTATTGGGAAATCAAATGTTAATCGATCTTTTATATTATCTACATAATTTATGTTATTGAATTGTTGATTGTAACAACATAATATCACCTCTTTTTATCCCTGAAAGGGTAGGCAGAGGCGCATATTATGACACTTACTTTTTTGTGTTGGACACCTCATTTATCGAGGAAGACTCTAGGCTACAAAACATCACGCTACCTTCAGTAGGAGCCGAGTGGAGTTGGTGTAACCGTGCCGAAGTAGCTAGCACTGTAATGAAATATAAGTCACTAAATAATCTCAATCTAATGCTTCAGAAGAGGCCTTTGGTCAGCAGTGGCCACTTACAGGTTGATCACGTTCGAATCTCTAGTTACCATGAAGATCAATACCCAATTCTTCTTCGTGAGAAAAGGTTCAGCGTAACAAACAGGATTGCATAGTTATAAGTTGATTTGACTATAATTAGAAACATTTCGTTAGTCACGTCCAAACAATAGGCTGCTA